CAAGTTAAGTTGGAGTTAAAAAGTTCCTTCTGACCAAAATATTAAATAACCTCTTGGTCAAACTGATGCATTCTATTACCCCTCTGTTCTTTGACTCATCCCTAAGCACACTTTATAACATGTCACAATGTACATACAATTTTAAGGTTTCCCATTTATCTATTAATCATCTATTTACCTACCTACCTACCCCTACCTCTCCATCCAAAATGACCAAACTCCTCTGCTTGCCTTGGTTTTCCTCCCTGAGGTGTATCCTGCATTAATTTTCTATATATTTACTACACACCACCTCCTTTTCGCTCCAGTCCAAAGGTTCTCCCTTGGCAGGGAGTGGGGAGGGAATGAGAGAAACAGCGCAGAGTATAATCTCAGGTATCTCTCCTCAAAGTGCACGTGCCCAAGTGTCGAGTCTGCTTCCAGATCCGCTAAGAGAATCTTGAGGGAAAAGAAAATGGCTCCAGCGTGTGTATTTTTAAAGCCTTCTAGTCACCCCATGCTCCCCGCCACCCGTCCCCGGTGAGGACCACTCCGGCCCATACTCATCTCCCTTGTCTCTGAACTTCTCCGTATCTGTCTGGGCCTTAGCTGTTTCCCATATTTCAGTCCTATCTCCCCAAATAATTTACAAGTTTCCTGAGGACAAAGATTATATCATATACCCCTTTAAATTCTCACAGGATCCAACACGTCCCTTTCCCTATTACTAATCTAACAACCCAGGTTTACATGCAAAAGTACTCTAGTTTTTAATAATCATATAAATTCCACAGGCTATAATCTAAGGTTCTTTTATTTTCAGTAGAAATAATATTTCTCTGTAGAGCCTTTTAAATATTGGTTAAGTAACCCCAAGAACCCTTCATTTTCTAGCCCAATCATTCCTTAAACATTTTCAGTCATGACACATCTTTACAAGAAAAATTTTTTTTTCCTCTCATATATTCCATGAGATTTCATATATTTCTTAGGTGACAAAGAAAAACATCTCTAAGTTCAGAAAACACTGAAATAATGTTCTTTACTCAGTATCTCATTGGGACATACTCCATAGAGAACACTTCAGAAAATGATGTATGTAACTATTACTGGCATCTCTCTATTACAGTTTGATTTTTGTGATTTTATTTATTTTTAGTGTATTTTCTGAAGTCTAGAAAAGCTAAATTTAGTCTTAAAAGAGAAAAAGAAAAGAGTGACCAAAAACCAACTTAAAATGATGAATGCCTTTAGAGAAAAGTTCCTTCCACAGACACTAGATGAATGTCAGGGTATGTGTACAAGGTACGCACCCTCTTTCATTTCAATGATTCCATGTTTTTACTCTTACGATCATCACCAAAGCAATCCCCAAAGAGAGATTTGAGGGTTCAATGGCTGTAAGTAGAGGAAACTGTCAAAACTCTAATACCCTAAATGCTTGTCTTCAAGTATGTCTGGACAGGAAGGCAGGCTGCCTGCAGGAGGAGGGTTAGTGGTGAGACCGTGTGCCAGGAGCTGGCTCCTACTCACGGGCCTGTGGAGACAAGCTATTAGGAGGCCTGAGAAGTCAGTCTTCATGCTGGAAAACAAGTCAAGAGGTAGGCTCTGCTGGACAGGTGCCTCAAATCTAAGGGGCTATTCCTCAGCCACGTTCTACTAAGAATCAGAACATTTTGTCCTCTGAATTCAATGGCCCTCTTTTTCTGAAATGCATCCTCCCTCCCTAATTCTGTATGTTGGTGGCTGACTGTGGTATGTTAGTAGCATATAACCTTTGATTTTCATCTAAATGAAGGAAATAAGGACCATGTTGAATAACCCCAAAGAGCCAGGGAGAGATACCGAGGGAGAGAATGGATTGTCAGGTGTTAAAGATAAATGTAAAGCTAATTATCCTTACTTTCTGCTCCTCCATTTCTGATGGCATCAGAAGGAATGAAACTTACAGGAGGTTGAGCAAGAGGGGACTGTGCATAGTAGAAAATCTGACATGTTTTGCTGACAGTCTGACAACTCTGTCATAAAAAAAGAAACTCCTGGCCCCCTAACTAGTAGGTCATTCAAATCATCAAGGTGTGGAGTAGCAGTCCCCAAATAAGCTGGCTGTCCAGGCAGAACTGCTGCTGAGTGGCTGGCCCACGTGTTCTTTCTTTCTGGGCTCTGGTCAGGAAGCTGTCTGCGGAAACCTACCATAGCTTAAGTGCTTTAACCACCATGCTCGTCTCCCTTTCTCACCATTGCACTGGTCCCTTGTATTCTTTCACAGTAAACCACAGAAACTAATAAAAATCATTCAAACCGCCCCCATAAACATGCTCTCTCCTGGAGACAGAAGTAGAACTGACACTCTCCACTGTGGACAATGAGTGGTGGGAATCTATTACTCTTTAGCTTAAGGGACTAAACTCCTGCAAAACCTTCCCTGTGTCTAAGTCTCCCCAGTCCCTCACTGAGGGAGACAGTATATGTGGAACAAGTCTGACCATCTGAACTAACCGGTCTGTCAAACAACATGGAAAGTCAATAATGAGCATTATCATACAAAGCAACTGCTGAAGAGAATGGCTTCGTCAATTCTGATTTCTAAGCCGACTGCAGACTAATATTGGCCTTGAAAATAGAGGCCATGAGTTCAGATAACAAGCTTCAAAAATTACACACTATTTTTAATTTGGAAAATTATGAAATCTCTGAACCTTCATTCTTAATATGCAGAATGAGGATCGCTTCTAATTATCTTACGTAAATGCCCCTGACACAGAGTCAGGGGCCCTAAATGTTATCTAAGGTATCAAGCTAGTTGATCTGAGGGTACTGTCAACATTGTAGCTTACTAAACAAAGAATACTATGGTGCTATTAAAGAATAAAGCTCAAAAATAAAAAAAATGAGAAGCTGTCTATGACTCGATATAGAAAGCTATCTGGAATTTGCAAAGTGCAAAAAGGAGACATAATTACAAAGACTGCTCTGCTACCTTTGCTTAAAAGGGGCAAATTAAGAATGTATATTGATACTCTCTTATATGCTTTGTATAGAAACTCCAAAAGAAGACAAAAAACATTAATAACAAGAGTTACCTGCTTGGGGTTGGGAGACCTCAGAACTGGAGCTGGCAGACTGGGTGGGAAGGAGTCTTTTTAATGAGTAGCCTTTTATATATTTTTTTTACTACGTGAGAAAGTATTACCTAGTCAGAAAATTAAATTTTTGTTTAAAGGAACTTCCCATCTAGGAAGATGGATCTTCCTTCTGGTGCCCTTTACCTGTAAGTCTCCCCTCGCTCTAATGCACAACTCACTAATCAGTTATTAAATTTTTATTGGCTTAAAAAATAAAATGAATTACGATGTTTTTTTAAAAATCTGCTTTTCCCCTCAAAGATGCTGCAGGTGATGAAGGGCCAGAACAAGTAACTGCCACTACTGTGGTAATTCGTGCTGTGCACCTGACTCCACCTACAGTTCTTGGAAAGGACCATAGAAAGGGTCTATATGCCAGTACCAATTCAGAATTTTCAAAAGAAAAAGACATAAACAGGCACCACAATCAGACCTAGGGGATGACTCATTCACTTCCAGTGCTCAGCGGATACTCTGCGACCCAGAAGTGATTATCCCCCTGAATCAACCCTAGGTGACAGAGGAAGATTACTCAGCAGCAGTGTCTGAACTGACAAGGCCACACTGCAGGACTTCCCAGCGTCAGTGTGGGCTCTGACTGAACACCAAATGCAAACATTTCAGCAAGAGTCATAATAAAGGTCTCTCCAGAAAAGAAAGAACTCTTCGTCTCGGAAGCTTTAATATTTAATGCATTTTCAGCAGTAAAGCAAAGACCCCAGATGAAAAACATCTGTCAATTTGAGTTTAAAGAAATAGGACCTAATGAGATAAACTCAAATGCTAACGAGCTCACTGAGGAGCCAGGAATAATACAAACCATTGTGGGAATGTATTATCCTCCCTTTCCTTCTGCTGTGTCTTCCGGACTCCCCTCCAGGAGCCGCCCAGTAGCTGCTCAGCCACTTCACGCTTCACTGTGTTAGCCTCTCCCAGGAACAACACTGCGGTGGAGGACACTGAGGCACACGTGCTCTACAACCAATGCTCTCTACTCCAAGGGCCGAACTGCAGCCTCCTGAAGAGACACGAGGTTTATCTGAAGGGGCTTCTGACACTTACTAAACAGTTCAATAGGTATTTCATTTAAAATAGAAATAAATTTCCATTTACACAAAGATGACTTACAAGGAATGCAGAGATTTTTCTCCTATCTTCAGACTTGCATTTGCATATTTTTACTTGACTTAGGTGCCTTCATAGGGTAATCGACCTTCCCAGTTTTCCCAGGATTGAGGCTTTTTGTGGGCCATGGAATACTCAGCGCTCAAGTCAGGAAAGTCTAAGGAAGCCTGGGATGGCTGATCATCCTAGTCCTCAAAAATCTTACTATGCTCCAAGCAGACCCCACTCCCACACTCAACCTGCTGCTCCTCCGGTTTCCCCCGTCTCCGTAAGTGGACTCATCATCCCCTTGGTTCTTCCTCTCCTTCACTCCCTACCATCCAATGATTCAGCACGTCCTTTTGATTCTATATCCAAAATATACTTTGAATATGTCTACTTCTTTCCATCTCCAAGACCACCATCCTAGTCCAAGCCACCCATTTCATCCTCCCTTTTCCAGTCTTCTCTCCTCTGATTTATTCTCCACATAGCAATCAGAAAGATCTTTTAAGCATAAAGCACACCATGTCACTTTCGCACTTACAACCATTCAACAGATTCCCAATAATTTCAGTGGCCTAAAAGGTCCTGTGTTATGGGCCCTGACCTACCTTTCTGACTTCATCTCATGCTACCCTGTGTTCCAGCCTTCAGACCTGAGAATTCCAACCACAAACAAGCTCCTCCTTCAAGGCCTCCAGGCTTGCAGTTCCCTCTGTCTAGAATGCTCTTTGCTGCTCTCTTGGCCTGCTGATCCTTCTACATTAAATGTCACCTTATTGGCCTTCCTAATCACCCTATATAAAGTAGAAACCATGCTCACTATTTTCTATCATATCATCTGTTTAATTCTTTGCACAGCACTTAACAAAATCTTTAATGATTTATTGGGTTATGTCTTGTTGTGTCCCAACTCCCAGAAAAACATGAGCTCCATGAAGGCAGTGACCCACATCACTTATCTATCTGGCTTATTTTTTGTATCTAGCATGTATTGTACCTCACAACACAAGGCACTCAAATCTTTCCGCAAATGAATGATTGCCAACAGTCACCAGGCACCTCCCTTGAGTGTCACAATAGTTATATAAATAGGTATTATCTATACTTTACAGATGAGGAAGTTGTGTTTCCGAGAATTAGTTCGTTTAGCAAGTGTTTATGATTAGCAAGTGGCTTGTTCAAGGACTGAGTCCTGCTCTAAGTCTATTACACCAGTCCCAACTCATCCCTCTCTGCCCTAGTCAATTGAGGAGAACACAGAATTAGGACCTGGGTGTTCACCAAGTTGCCTTCATAGATGTGGTCAAAGTAACTATAAAATACAGGAAAGCATCAGAAGCACAAAAGGATGGAAAACCACAGATGTGCCTGGATATGAGTGTGTTTACACACACACACACTCACAAATAAGTCATCTACTTATTCACTATCACAAAAGTCTAGAATCTCTAGGGGTGGAAGGAGGGAGACAGGTTGGCTGAGTGGATAAAAAATCTTCGATTTACTCGTCAAAACATGTATTGGTTATTTTTAAGTCTAAAGTATTTCACAAAGACAGAGACGGCCAAGGGTGCATTTCTACTTGTAGGTCACATGTACCAATGTAAATCACTTGACCAGGGGTATATGGTGAGCCTTCTGGGATTTGGCATATGTTCCACCTTATGGTTAAGACTAGATAATGTATAACAGAGCAGGTAAAGCCAGCATTCTTCTCAAGAAGACTTCATTTCAAAGTTAGTTATGCTAGTTTGTTCACTCATCTATCCATTCACTCTGCAAACATTTATTCAATACCTACCATGCAAACACACTGCAGGATCATGAGCAATAAACAGACTAAACTCAAGAAGCTTAAAGTACTGTAACACGAGAGACAGAGAGTGGCACACAGCATATTAGAACTGCGACATGGCAGCTGCAGATTACTCAAGAAATGAAAGGCAGCCATACCACTCTGAGCGTTCTGACAGGAAGGACCACAAGGAAGGTTCCATGGCATAAGTGAAATGTAAGCATGGATATGCAGGATGAGGAAAGATTAACTAGGGAAACATGAATTCACTTCATGATCTTTTTGTAAAAGATAGTAAATCTTCTCTTTGAGCTCCAGGCTCATGTATCCAAAACGTGTAACTGAAAACTCTACCCGGGCGTCTCACAAAGATTTCAAAACGACGATGTCTAAAGCTGAAGTCTTCAGTCATATTACCTAATAATCCTCAAGAAACCCTAAACTCTCCATTCTTTTCATATAAAATACCAAACCACTTCCCTTACTATTTATACCTCATCCCTGCTGCATTTTGTACATAAAACATACAGTAAAATGAGATGGTAATACTAGTCTTGGATTCATTTGCTAACTTACAGCGGGAAACCAGGGGGGAAAGGGAAGTGATACATCCTCGTGTCTTTACCATTTGTTTCCCATCAGCATGCAACAACACTCTCCTCCAGAAAGGCAACATCCTGGAACCATGCGGCAGCACCCTAGGGCACAGCTAATAATCCACTAGGAACTCACCTGACTGAAATTTCAGAGCCAGTCACCTAAAGATGTTTATGTGGTACCTAAGTGCTCTTACAAATTGGTCAAATCATGATCTCACCGGCACGATGTGGAGTGCTGGGCCCTGTGAAGGTTAGCAAGGTACCTTAGAATCCTCCTGGGAAGGAAGATGCTCCCTCTTCTCCTTCAGGCATGTCAGCACAGCATCTGGAGTCTCCTCTCCAGAGGAGCTTGGCTCAGGGCCCGCAGCTTCCGGCTTCCCGTTCTCTCTGGGGACTGTGGCTTGCTCACAGGACAGGTTTCTAGGTGGGCCTTTGGGAACACTTCCTTGTTCTTCTGACAGCTTCAGCTTTAGTTCTAAGAGAATTGCCACAAGTTATCAAGAGAGGGAGGACTCACTGGCCCTAATAAGAGCAGAGAACCTGAGGACTCCCCTCCCCTAACACCAAGATGGTGGAAATGAACAGTGCTGATGACGGCTTTCCATGGGGCAAGGGCAGCCTCAAAAACTGAAGCCAGCAACACAGGCTCCCAGTCAGACGTGAAGAGAGATGGCTCTTGAGGCTGGGATCTCATGGAGGGGAGGATCGTGTGTGGGAGTAACTCAGTGGTTTAGAATTCAGAGGAGCTGTTCTGGAGGAAGACCAGTGGTACCTGCCCCAAAGTTTTCCCCTGCTATCTACCACAGCACCTGAAAGTCTGCACTCAAGATCCATTTACTTGGGTTTTGAAAGTTGTGCAGTCAGTAAGAGCCTCTGTGGAAATGCAAGTGCTTCTGGAAGGCATTACACATGCAGACATCTGAGGATATGCAGGAGGGATGGGAAAGAGGAGATGGAAGTGCCAGCCCCAACTTGACAGATTTCACAATTTTGTCTAATGCCAGTATTTAGAATCTGGAAATCACCATTATCGCAATGTGGCTTTATATAAACCTATAGAATTAAAAAATAAAAAGGCCACCTGGGAGTTACCAGGGAATTACAAGGGACTGGTCGTTGGAATGAGGCCATTTATATTGATTTCTCAATTACATAGCTCATTCTCTTTGTTTGATGTTTGTTTTCCAGTTAGACACTGGTGTGGTGTTTAAACACTACATATTTTATAAACCTGCCACATCACTGTAGTTTAATACCACTGATTAATATTCCTTTCCAGTTCTTTATCGCGATCCTTTTAGAAATGTGGGAAATCTCCCATATCTCTAAGTATTGAAATAAGAGTTAGAGGGAAGAAGAAAATATATATGTATTTATTTTTGGTAAATGACCATAGTCCCTAAAAACAGATTTTAGAGTTAATGAATCTTCACACCACCATCTCCAGAGAGACAAAGAAAGAACACTGGATAAGGAGGCAAGAAAACAGGTTTTTACTCCGAGCTCAGCACCTCCCAGCTACGTCACCTTTCCCTCTCTCTGGACACAAATGTCTTCATCTATGTAGTGGGGTATGTAAATGACTGCTCAGGCCTCTTCTGTTTATAACATCCAAGAATCCAATAACCCAGGGAAGTGAATTCTCCACACACTGAAATGTTCCTGGCACTGAAGTGAATCATTCCACCTGGGAATCTGGAATTCCCCAGTCTCTTCACAGGGGGACTTATTAAAAGGCATAGAACAATGAAGGGGACTCTTTACTCCTTATTTCAAGATGGGGCCTCCAGTCTAGGCAGGAGACAAGGTTAAAAAGGACACAGGTAGAAGAGAATCAAAAACTCCTTGGAGCACATTATCACTGTTTTAACTGCTTCCTTTATGAGAAAGGAGACCCTTAGCTGGCATTTACCTTTAAGCTGCTTACGACCTTTAGCCAAATCATTCATCCATTTCAGGACTTCAGGATTAGATGTCTTGTCACCATGTGAAGGCTGCAAGGGAGGGGAAAACGGGGGTGGAAGGGGAGAACGGAGGGAAAGGGAGGGAGGGAGGAAGTGGGGGAAAGAAATAGAGAAAAGGAAAAACAAAAATTTTACACAGCTGAAGCAGACAAAGATAGTTTAGGGACATATAAAGCTGGGAGAGAAATTCAGGCGTGAAATTTGCAGCTGATGGAGTTGCCTCTGAAAAACGGAGTAAACATTCTTGACCTCCTCCACTCTTTCATCCTTGCCATGGACATCATGTCTAAACACGCCTGATCACCCAGCAACTTTTACATTGTCCCAGCCATGCCCATGCCCCCTCCAGGCTAACCCTCAGTCACCTTGTGAGCTACCCACACCCAACACCCCACTGCCAGTCCTTTCTTTCTGTCAGAGTAGACGGCTGCATGGATGCAAACCAGTGCTTACTCCCTTGCCTCTGCTCATGACCAATGACCACAACCCGCCTGGGGAACACTGACCACCTGGACACCTTAGCCCCAATCAGTCATATCCTCCAAGCTGAAGAAGAGAGATCTCAGTATCTCTAAAAACTGACAATCATCTGAGAAGTCAGTATGTCAGGGGAATACCCATATTTTTACTCCTCTCACTGTCTATAGACTCAATATCCTACTGGGCTAACATTAAAGTAAAACTTAACCATTTCAGTGTGAACTTGGGCAAATTATTTAGCCTCTCCATGCCTCAGTTTCATCTACCAAGTGAGGATTATAATAGCATCTCTCTCACAGGGTTGCTTTGAGGGATAAATTATTGAGTACATGTAAAACACTGAAAAGCGTTCCATGCATGTGGTTAACACTGTATCTATGCTAGCTACAATTAAACATACTATTATTGTCATTATTATTGGCAGAGGTGACAGTGGTAGTAGTGTTACTACCAGACCTTCAAAGGAATAGTGAATTAGGTTTTCACCAATAAACATACATGTAGGGGTTTGTATGTCCTACCAAGTAGCTAATCACACATGGATGCGGCTAAAAGAATGTATTTTTAATTTTAGAAGGATATGACTCTGTTCATACAAATCATTCACTGTGATTTCTGGATTTCTTTTCAGAGCATAAAAGTGCATTTTCTACAGAAAAGAGAAGCTAGGGGAGAATAATAGCCAAAACACCTAGCCTGCACCCCCACAGAGCAGCAGGGAACTTTTTTAAACAAGTTGTGGCCATGCAGGCTCTGGAAGATTAGCGGCTACTGTGAACTGGGGATAAAAGAGCTATACAGGAATGCTCAGGAAGACATCATGAACATCCTAACAGTGCCAGAAAAGTGCGCATTGTTAGTGACGAGGTCTGGGTGCTCTGCCATGTTTAAGGATCCACTAAGTGTAACAGCAAGCTATCGCTGAGAGAGGTATAGGGAGAGAAATGAGTTCCTCTCAAATTCAAAAGGAAAAACAGTGCTTGTGTGACAGGATCATCAAATGCACACGGGATTAGGTATTTAAATTGTGAAACACAAGTCACTTCTATAGTGATGTAGAAAACATGCATTTTAAATTCAAAGTGGAAAATAAGACTGAGGGAAAATGACAGTGATTTTTTTAACCCTAGGGGAACCCAGAAGGGAGACTGGCTTCCGGGAGGGAAGCGCTGGTTTCAGGACCACGGACAGTGGCATGGGGGCACACCTCCAAACTGCTTTGCCTGGTCCTACCCATGGTCTGCAGGAATGCCGCACTGTACTACTTCTCTGATACGTTTAGCACTTTGGTTTTAGGTGCCAGTCTAGTTATATGAACAGTCACTGTTTTACATTTGGTTTCTTGAAATCCTCACAGAATTCTCCACTCTGATCTGAAAACACATTTTATTCTCTAGAACGTATTGTTTTCACTGGATATGCTCCACAGAGTTAATGCCATCTTTTGAAATACCATTAAAAACAAAAACAACAAAAACCTAAGACCCTCTGCCGGTAACCACCAATGAAATAAGCTTTCACTACTGCAAACAGGATTTAGTAGAAATTTAAGGTTGAATTTTCTGACAAAACATTGTAAAGCCTGAAATCATTTTCTAAAATAAATTTTGTATTTCCCTACTCTGGAGGGAGCTTTCAAAAGAGGTTAAATCATTCTCACAAGGAAGGCAGCTCTCAAATCACATGGAAAGTTTTCATGTACAAACTGTGGATGGAAGGCTTGAAGAAGCCTTCTAACTACCGAAATGAAATATTCCAGTTTAATAGACCCTAAGGGCCATAACCCAAAGGTTACAGTTTAGATTTTGTTCAATGTAATTAAAATTGAAGTTCTAAATGACATAATTGAGGGCACCACTGGACAGAATCTGTGGTCTTCCAAAGACAGTTCAAAAGACACTTAGATTTATGGATCAGTAATGAAAAGACCTGAGTTGTTACCTTGGCTAGATCAATTCTTTGCTGTGTGAACCTGGGGAAGTCACTTCCCTTCTCTGGGCCTCAGTTTCTTCTATGGTCAAGTAAGACTAGCTGATCCCTTCTAATTCTAACATCATCTAATACTACTGGAAGAGGATACCTGGTTGAAATAGCCTTAGTTAAATGTAAAGTCAATTGTAGGGAATAAACATGGTTTGGGATAGGAAAGTGAAATGGTCACATTTAACGGAGAAGGAAAGATGTATATTGTACCAGGGCATCACGCTAGCACAGAGGCCCAGCAGGAGCTCGGATTCAAAAATTAGCAGCGGGTGCTATTAGTTCCACAGTCAGGCTGCCAAGAAGGAAAGCCATACACACAGCAACCAATTAAAGCCCACTGACATGTCAAACCTCTAACCACAGCCTGGCACCCAGACAGGAAGGATGAAGGGAAGCCCCATTTCCTGAGACATGGAAGGCTCTGATTACACCAAAGATTTTCACACACACAGAAGCAGTGAACATGACGGCTTCTTCCTTTACTGCTCCCAAATCCATCCATCTGCATGTTGAAGTGTGTGGACATGTAACTTCTCTGGCTCTAAAGCTTCTCTAGACAAAAGCAGGGGGTGCCAGGAGAAATTCTTTCCTAAAATAGTTAGCTGCTGGGTGGCTATTTAGCGAGAGAAATAATCCAGGGTCTGTGGCTGCAGGTAGAAAAATCCAGTGGAAAATGTGTACAATTTTATTTTTTGACAAGCAGAGGCTGCCATGGGATAGTCTGTTCAAATATCATTCAAACAGATTAAAAAGTTAATAATATCTAGGACTACTTCTCTATCTCCTTTGAGCCCAAATTGTAATAAGCATTATATATGCACTCCCTAATTTAAAACTCACAAACTTAAGAAGTCACTACTAATATTAACTCCACTTTACAGATGGGTAAACAGACTCAGAGAGGTAAAGAAACAAGTCCAAAGTCACAGCTTCCTAAGTGGCTATGCTGGATTCAAATACAGATCAGTCCGATTCAACAGGAACTGCCAGGTAGGAAATATTGCCATACCCTGGGAAAGGAGCCCCTACATGTTACTCTGCAGTTTCCAATTTGAGGGCATCACAGATCCAATAACACTCCAGCAGCAAACAAAGAAAACCAGCTTCTCTCAGGGTATCTGGAGCTTTCAAAATGTGGATACTTACTCCTCCACTGCAAAACCTACTCATCTGTAACCACCCCACGCCTGAGCTGATAGAACACAATTACCTTTAGAAAGTTACGTCTTTGCTGGGCCTCAGTTTCCTTTCCTGTAAAATAAAGGCCTGGACTCAGGATGTCGTGAGCCCCCTCCTGTTCCATAACAGACAGTAAGTAGCTCTGATTGCCTGGCTTCAAGGAAAAGAGAAGCCTTCAACACCCTAAGGCTGTCTAGAGAGCCAATCTGATTTATTTTTTCATTTGGCAAAGTTAAAAATCACTCCCTAATAACCCTCTTTTAATGAATCTGAAACCGCTGTGTGAGACACAGGGTAGGAGAACAGAAACTCACCCACTCTCACCTCCCTCCCCAGAACTTACCCACACTCCAGGGACCTGCAGATCACCTCTGTACTAAGTGCTTAGTGAGCCTTTAAATATTTCATGATGGATGAGGCATTATTCCCTGTTCTCTTTCATTCTAATAAAACAGCCCAAGCTGTTCTGGGCCCTCTGCCAAATACCCAATATCTTCATGCAATTATACATGGATTTATGATTTCTCTCTATGCCATGGTCACTACTGGAGAAAATAAATAAAACTAGCACTGGCCATCAGGACACTCACCTCTAACTCTATTATTTCTTTTTTTATATTTTTTATGTAAAAAAAGAAAAGGTTCCTGACTGCAACCCTACAGCACCAGCGTGAAGCCTGGTGTCTCTGACGGAAAAGGATGGGTCAGGGCTTGTTCTGAGAGACCTGAAGAGGTGTCACTAGATGCATCTCTATCCATCAACCAGAAAGTGCATTACTGTCAAAAAACCCCACTCTCTCCCTCATTCTGTTCCATATTTAGAGATTCTGCCCTTTGGGCCCTGAGTAGGTTCTTATCAAAATGCCAATGAGAAAAGGTTAAAGAAAAAGTAAGACCATCATCCAAAAGCTTAAGGAGGGATCAATAATCAAACAGGTTGGACAGGGCTGTAATCTGTTACTAGGACATATCTTAGCGGAGATCAATTGGCAGCCTGCGTGGACAAGACAGATGCAGGAGGGACACTCGATTTACGATGGGTCTTGGGTTAGCCAATGGAAACCTAGCCGTCCCCTGGCACACAGAGGCACTCAGGAAGGGAGGCAGAAAAGCCCATACACCTGTGACACGATCCACTCAGTTCAAACCACAGCACAGGGTCCTTACCCGGTATTTCTTTTCTTGTTCAAATTTTTCTTCAAATTTCCTAATTTTCCGCTTGAGGCTCTGGATGTGCTTGGTGAGCTGAGTAATGGTCTGTGGCTCCTTGCCATCACCACAGCTGCCCCGTGAAGAGCTCCGGGGCCTGTGGAGAATACAGGGAGGGAAATAATCATCAAAACCACGGTCTTCCAGTCAACACCGCGGCTGGTCTACCAGCCAAGCCTCCCGGATTCTCACAGAAGTCCAGAGGGCAGTTCATTATTTGACCAATCCACTGGGGTAGTATTTGCTCACTAGTGGAGACCCCTGATCACAGCACTCATTATGGGCAAATGTCATCAGGGACTTTAGTCTACAAATGTCAGAATATTAGTCTAGGAAACGCATTTCCTACAGCTTGGAGGAAACCAATTTCAGACTAAATCAAGACAGTCCTGTAGTGCTATTATCCTCAGTAAGCTGCTTAAGCCCCACCTAGCAACATTTTCAAGGGAGATTTAAATGAGTAGTTAACTTTTCTTGATATAACACAGGCTTTGTGAATCTGATGAAAGGAATAGAGCCCCTCTCCAGAAAATGAATTCACTTTCTCACTTGACACACTGTGCAATAGCAATAATTCTCTAACTCCCTCAAGTCCATCAGTAGATAGCCCATGGACTGAGGTTTGGATAAATTCATGAATAACAGCAAGAGTTATTAAGGAGAAACTAGGAATTCCCTGCACATATTTTTAGTCATAGGAGACTCATTTTCGCATCAAAACTATTTGCAAAACTTCAAAAAAATAAGAGCACATGGTTTCACATTTATATTTTTGTGTGGGGGAGCTATTGTAAGCTACCACTTTTATAGAATCTAAGACTAAGTGGAGATGGACCACTCCCAAGTGTTGCCAACCACGAAGGCCCCTGTTGGACATGGAAATACTTAGTGAGGTAACCAAGAATGATACTCCTGGTATTTGTATGCACGTATACTTTTAAGATTCTGGTCATCTCACCAAAAACATTCCAACATGTGAGCCCCAGGGCAGCCTGTGTCTCGAGACCATTTCCTCCTGAGACAGGAGGCCTGAAACAGCACTATTCTTGACGTGAAAGTACACTGGTTTTTTGCCATTTATTGCTCAGGGCTTGCAGTTGCATTTGGTATGTCTGGTAGGCACGTGTGCTCTACTTCAGACACAAACCTCACTGTAGTTTATAACTGCAGTATTTGAAAAACCTTTGTAAAATGAAGACAGTAACAAAACAAGATTTTCTTACATCATAAACTGCTGAGTGCTGGGTGGAGAAGGGGCTGATTCGGGGTCTAAGTTGAATCTCTGGCTTTGGCTGAAGATGGAGCATCGCGGTGACAGCAGCGGGTTGTCGCCATCGGTGATATGGGAGAGCAGCCTGCTAGTCTCGGCACCCTGGAGGTCCTCTGGAGCACTGTCTGCTTCAGCCAGCCCATCTCTGTGGCCTGGCACGGGGGCTGAGCAAACAAATACATCACCAAGACTTAGAAGTGACAGAGGGCTTGAGACTGCCATGTTCCTAAATAAAGATCATCAACATTCATTATAATGTCTTGGCTCTTTGTCATTTCTTCTTTCGGGAGACAGGAAAGCCTTTTAAAATACTGTCATGTTTGTTCTCACAGAACTGGGACAGAAATATTACAAAGCCAACACACATACAAAAATGGATGCACAAGTTATTTCGGTTTCAGTTACAGAGCCTGCAAAGCCCAAAACTACAAAAATTCTCTGTTTCATATTATTTACGTATGTCAGAGAGTATATACAAAATGTTGAAGTGAAAAAAACAATAAAGTAAAATGAAACTGGAGCAAAAGAGGATAGATTACGAGGAGGGAAAGGTATAACAGAATCGCCAGTGAAGAAAGGGAGAGGACGGAGTAGGGAGGAAGAGAGGGGAGAGGAGTCCTCAGGCAGAAAATTATTCAGCACTCATTAAAAATAATGGAAAACTCTGCTTATCAACATGGGATGATGTTCAGAATATGTTAAATGAAAAGCACAAATTTCAAAACAAAATCATGACTCCGTTTTATATAAGAAGTATGCATTTATGTGTACAAAGCAATGCACTAAAAGATCAAAGAAGCTACGGAGCAACTACAAAGCAGGGTAGAATTAGGAATGAATCATTTCTTCTCCAAAATTTTATGTAGCATTTTATTTTTGGACAAAGACAAAAACCAAGAACCAAAGCCTGCTCTAAATCATCTCCCCAGCAATGCAGCTCTCTACCTGGCTTCTCACTGTGATTACTCCCCTTTTAAATGGGCTCAGTATCTCCCTGCCCCCATGGCCAATCCAGAAGCCTTATGCTCCAGAGGGAAGGGCAGTAGAGTGGAGAACTTTAGGACACTGGGTCAGGGTGGTCAAGATAAGAGTCTCTCCATTCCAGGGCGCTGTACAGAGTGACTCAAGAGACAGCCAAAACAAATTCAGTTTTGCCCAGCAAACAAGTCAGGACAACCCAAGGCTTTCTTTTATTTCTACTACCCTAAAGAAAGAGGAAAAACAGATTTTCTGGGTGAATAAGCAGAATCTGAAAATACTGACAATCCACTTTTCCAAAACAAACATTTATCACAATTTGTACTGGATGAATCTTAATCAGGTTTAGAATGGCTGTCTCTCATGGACCTGAAATGCAATTTGCTTTGTGCAACAAAGGTCTGATTAGGTCCTCCTGTGTTTTCAGTTGGCTTCTCCCCTGTTGGGCTGTAGGCTGGGAGTGGGGACAACATCCCCTGTCGTAACTCTGAAGCTCACCGACAGCACTTCTGTCAGGAGCTGAGGCTGGTCAGAAATGGACAGGGTGAGGCCTGGGGAAAAGCTGGAGCCAGATGAATGCTGATGCCCAGGTCCAGAGGCAAGGTACGCTGGTGGGACTGACACCACTTGCCACAGGCAACACCCTTACTAAGAAGAATTTATCCAGAAAATACTGCCATTGTGGCAAGAGCTATAAGGAGTAATGGGAGTAATAGTTACTAACCAGTAAGTCACAGCATACACTAACAATGACCTTCAAAACCCACCAGGAATCATATGAATTCTTCACCAATTCCTTTTCTTAAACTATTAAGCTCTAAGAAGAAATGCATTTTAATCATGTTGCCTGTTTCTGGGCAGTAGCTTTTGGTAAAAATGATGGGGAAGAAAAGAATCTTTAGCAAGCACCTGGGATCAGCATATTTCTGCTGAAATGGTAAAGGTCTGAGGCCTTCTACCCTTCAGCTCAGCTGTGGTGTCAGGGTCAAAGCTAAAAGGAGTCTCCTGGTGCTGTCTTAGAATGACAAGACGGGAGCACTTGGGTTCCTGACCAAATGACTAAAGGGGAGGTGAGGAAAGAGCTCAGCTTCGGAAACCCAGAGTCCTAAGACATGACTCCACAGAATCACAGGCTGGCGTGAATGGCTCTTTCTGAACCACACAGCGACAGCACCTGTAAACTTCCACTTACACAGCAACTGTCCTTTGTGGGCACTCGCATCACTGACCAGTGCTGCCTAATTAATATCCTGACCTGACCTCTCTTCCCCCCAGCTCACCACTGAAGGAAGCAGTGAGCCCCAAAGACCCCAAAGTCACTGACTAGTTGAAAGCAAGAAACAGCCAAAAACTGGTAATTAGGTAGGGCCTGAGTTCTCTGATTAAACTCACTGTTTGAGTTATGAAGTGGCTTAACTAAATGAGTGAGCACATGTCTGTGTGTGTGCATTTGTGTAGACAGGATTATTGAGCTCCTTGTTCAGAAGGGGCTGGGGTAGATTCAGAGCCAATCATCATTGCTGCCATCCTGGGAACAGAGCCCAGGCCTCCACTTACAGACCCTGCTCCCCAACACAGAGAAGCTTATGGCAATATTAAACTCAAGTGGCTTCTGATGGGACCCTGGGAGCACATGGATTTTTCTTCCAAAGGAAGGGGAAGCTTGCCAGGGCCCAACATGCGACGCAGTGTGGTTTAGAGGAGGGTCTGGGCGCCAGGAGTTCAGGTGCTTATACTTTCTTGTGGGGCTCCAGCCAGTTCACTGACCTGTGTGTCCTTGTTTGGACCATCTTTCAGGCTATGACAGAAAAGTCAAAGAAGATCTGCTATACAACATCCAGCCTGTAGCTAACAACATTGTACCAGACACTTAAAAAGTTAAGAGTCTATATCTCATGTTACATGTTCTTACCACAATAGTTTTTTTTCTTTTTTTCCTTTGCATTTTCTGAACTTCTGTAATGAACCTGTCTTAATTTTTAAGGAAGGACAAAACGATAAAAGTTAATATAAAAATTTCAAAGAAAAAAAAGAAAAAGAAAAAGAAAAGCATTCTTGAGAAGAGAAGTGAGAAACAACCCCAGGGGCAGCACAAGAGAAGGCAAAGATTGTAGTGTGAATCCCAGGTCTACCACCTGTTAAGAGGCATTTCAGAAAGGGTAGCCTTTTTAAAAAGTGTCAGTTTCTTTAGCTGTAAAATGGGAAAAATAATGGTGCCTGCCTCTCAAGACCAAGTGAGGATGAAAAGAAAAGAAACTGTATTCCCTTCAAAATTTTTGCCATATCCACATAAACCTATTTTTAATATATGTATATGTGTGTGTGTGTGTGTGTGTGTATATAAAATCTTAATTTTAACCTACATTTTTAAAATTCAACTTCATTAGACAATGATGGCCAAGAAACATGAATCTGATGTGCTAGTTACCTTTTTAACTAATACACTTTAAAATAAATTCCTAATAAAAATAGCAATGTTCACCCATGCACCCTCTGTACAACGTATTTGTTGAAACACTTAAGCCATAGAATATGCACAGTAACCAAGAGAACCATCATTTTAACAATTAGTATTATCAAAATAATAAAGTTGAATATTATTTTCTCTTAGTAAGCACCAACCACACTAGGCGTCCTTCTGGGGTTAATACGGGAAACAAGAACTAACACAGTCCTCAACATACTGTCCCTCCTACCAGTTCTTATTTATAAGTTAAGAAGAATCAAATCTAATACTTGCGCAGTGACTCACTATGTCCTCAGTCTTGTCCTAAGAGTTCTTGCAAGTATTTAATCTTCGTAACAACCACAGGAGTACTATGAACTCCACGCAAACCTCAGTAGGGAAGGTGGTATGACTACGTTAGCTGCATGCAGGGAGAGTCTGACCAATGCCCATGACAGAAGACTCCACATCTCTGAACCTGGCAGCCCACTCACTGAGCAATAGGGAAAAGAGAACTAATCATCAGGTGTGAAGGCCAAGAGCCCACTTCTGATCTGGCTGCAACCCCAGGCAGGAGCAGATGCTTTATTTCAGCTGTTACATCAATCAGTCAGCCTGAAATTTATGCGTTTCTAACATGAAATTTTAAGAGATTCAAATTGTAAATCAACTACACTTCAGTAAAATGTTTTAATTAAAAAGTTAAATAAATAAAGTGATGCAAAATTTAAATAAATCTCTATCTGCAACCCCTTGAGATGGACTGCTGAGATCTGAGTCACGAATTAGCCATGGGCTTTGGGTTTGTTAATTTGCACTCCTGGGTTTGTCCATCATGGTAGGCTCATAGATGGCATTCAGAAACATTTCAAAATGCCATACATCAGCCTTTGATGGTTTTAAAAACTAAATGAGCCAGAAGTGTGTGTCCATGATTCTCATGAAGCTCAAGCATCAGACAAAAAAGGCCAAGAAAACAAAACCAAAAACCAAAAAACACCTGATAGATACACAATGGATTCAGTTTTAGGTGTGTTGAATTTAAGCGCCTGAAGGCACTAAGCGTTCACAAGAGCGAGAACATGGGTAGCCTGAAGTCACCGTAATAACTAGCCATCCCAGTAAGAGGGATTCCAGGTACATGAAGCTGATCGAGCTACAGAGTGGGACGAGGCTGGCACTCCAAAGCAGGTTTCTACATGCCAGCCTCTGTGGACGACCACCAGAAACATCAGGGAGCAAGAGGGGTGAGGTGTGTGTCACCGTGAAAGCAGGGCTGGGATATACAGCAAGCAACCTGCATATCCCAAGAGGCAGTTTGCCATCAGGAATAAAAGCATGAGCTATAGTTTCAGCAACGCCTAGATTCAAGTCACAGCTTTGTCCGATGTGCTACCTGAGACATATTATTCCATCTTTTTCGATCTCAGTTTTCCCATCTGTATAACGAGAATGCATCCAATTCAACAGATGTTTACTGACCATCTCTGCAAGCCAAGTCCTGTTTCAGGTAAGAATGACATCACTATCTACCTCATAAATTGTTAGCAGGATTAAAAAGAGATAAGGAATCTCAAGTGCTTAGGACAGTGCCTGGGGAAAGGGGTATAATAACTCATCAACACATGTTTGTTGTTGTTTGTATTTGTGGTGGTATCTTTCACCTTGTTAGGTAATTCAGGAGGGGAACCAAAGGGAAAAATGAGTTCAGTTCTGGGCACGTTAAGAAGCACTTATGGT